TTCACGGAAAGAAGGTAAGTTTACACTATTTTTAGCTAGTTTTTATTTGTTTTGGAGGGTTCTAGGTAGCAAATTCGAATTTTACATATGGTTTTCTATAGAAAATGTCTATTGGAATTGAAAAACAGCTGAAAATGTGTTTACACCAGAAAAAAAAAAAGGGTGAACTGTAGTTCACCGTGCCAGGTTCATGAGTTGCCATGTAGGGTGAATGAGGTTCACCTTGCCAGGTTCATGTAGAACATAGTAAGTTGACTGTAGTTCACCTTGCCTGGTTCATGTAGAGCATAGTAAGTTGACTGTAGTTCACCTTGCCTGGTTCATGTACTACTGTATTACATGGTGACTTTTATTATTTGGTTATTATTGGTTATTTTTTCTGAAGAATGCTTCGATCTTATCGTTCACGAAACCAATCTATATAGCATGCAGCTATCTGGGACGCCATTGAATGTTGATAAAAATTCCATAAAAGGTTTTATTGGCATTCAATTCCTGATGGGCATAATCGATTAACCAGCCATCACTGATTTCTGGAATAGACGCTTCAGGCAGCAAACTAGCGCGGACGTTATGTCTCTCAAAAAGTTCTTGAAAATTAGACGTTTCATTCATTTCGCCAACAATGAAGATCAGGATGACGACCCTTTCTTCAAAATCCGTCCCATCGCCGAACTTGTCCGTCAAAACTGTATAAACGTACCTCCTGAAAAGAAATATAGTGTGGACGAAATGATGGTGCCTTATAAAGGGTCAAAGGCAGGCAGCAAAAAACAATACATGCCAAAGAAGCCCTGCAAGTGGGGATTTAAGTTATTTGTACGTTCAGGCATCTCCGGCATCGTGTATGATTTCTTTCCATACTGTGGGAGCTCATCTTTCAGGGGAATTGATTTCACGCCAAAAGAAGAAGCAATGTCCTTCTCTGCCCAGATCGTTTTGGCTTTGTGCAAATCTATTCAGGATCCACCATTGAGCACTGTCTTCTGTGATAATTTTTTCACCTCTCTCAGTATGATGGTTTACCTCCGTGAAGAGTTCGGGATTCTGGCATTGGGTACAATAAGAGCCAATCGAACTAGTAAGGCACCTTTATTATCGGAGAAGGAGATAAAGAAGAAGGGAAGGGGATGGTACGAGGAGTACAGCGACAATAAGAAGAACATTGCACTTATCCAGTGGATGGACTCGAAACCAGTACTACTGACGAGCACCTTCGTTTCAGCCGACCCTGTGGAGAAAATCCTGAGATGGTCAAAAGCAGATCGTGCTAAGGTTGAAGTTGATTGCCCACAGATTGTCAAAGAATACAATAGGCATATGGGAGGTGTGGATCTCTCGGACATGTTGATTTCTCTGTATAGGACGCCCTTCAGGTCTCATCGGTGGTACTTGCCACTCTTCGCCCAGCTGTTGGATATCTGCACGGACAATGCGTGGTTGATGTACAGGAGAAACAAGAATGTCCAGAAAGGCTCTGACATGGAGACAAATGATGATACTGGATCCAGCCAAAAAGAAAAAAAAAAAGAACACCAGTACGCTGTCTTTGAAGGATTTCAGAGCTGACATTGCGGAACAGCTCATAAGGGACACCAGAAGGAAAAAAGGTGCTTCCAAATCGCTTTTCATCAAGTCCCTAAAAAAACGGATTTGACCGCTCGTCCTCGCCATCAGTGTCTGGCACAGGGAAGTTCTCTCCAAAAGCTAACTGCAGTCAAGCTGAAATCCAACATTTCCCTTCATACACAAAAAAAGGAAAATGTAGAGAGTGCCATAAAAACCAGACGACTGTGTACTGTGAAATTTGTGATAAAAGGCTATGTTTTGTGCCTAAACGAAATTGTTACCTCAGTTACCACGGAAGACTTTGAATTTTATTCCTAAACTATTATTTGAACTCTTATAGACAGCATTTTTTTCTAAGCAGTCAAGTAGCATTTCATTTTTTATGTTCAACATTTGTGATTTATTTAAGTTTTCTTGAGTTCCTTATTGGTTTTGGTGGTGAGAATTGATTGCTTTTTCAAGAAAGTAAGTGAAATTGTGATTTTGAAATGAGACTGATATTGAAATGGTAAGACTTGAAAATGATTTAATTAAACTATAAAGTACAAATTTAAAAGGCTGGTGATTTTTACAACTTATTCAAAGTTTATTAGCTTATTTTTTCTAATAAAGTTAACAATTAGGTTTGAGAGTTATTTTACTTATTTAACTACCTAGCAAACAAACGTTATAGTAACCTGGCATGGTGTACCTCAGTCACTCTGCTGGGTAATTCATGAACCTGGTGACTAAAGTACACCAGTTTTTGTTACGACCATAGAAACCATAGAAATGGGCGGATGCCCTATTCAAGTGTTTTTTCAGCATAAGGGAGGGCTAGAATTTGAATTCTGAAAAAAGATTGAGAAAAACATCATTATTTCTACTTTTGCCTGAAAAAGGGTTAAATACGCATAAAAAAAAATCTGTTGGTTCATCCTTATACCCGGATTTGAATTCTGAAGACAAAATATTTCAATGTGAACTATCAGAAATTAAAATTAAAATTAAATAAATAAGAATTATAATTTATATTTACATCATATCCACTTAAATTAATGTTTTTTTTTTTTTTTTTTTTTTTTTGTTCACGAAACAATTCAATGTTATTTGTGAAATCAGGAACTGGCTATATTTACAGACATCTATAATCGTTAGTTTTCAGTTCGATTTAAATATAATGGAATAGGTTAAAAGTTTAACCGTTAAAATCTTCAAAAAATATTCATATGATTTTATTTTTCAATATATAAGGTACATTATGCATAACATGGACTCAAACAGAACTGATACATCAAAATGAGGAACTCAAGTTCTAGTCGACCATCCCCGACATCAATGCTGAAGATGAGTACGTGAACTGCACAATCTAAAAAAAATAAAATCAGGCATCGATTAAAATAGTGTCAAAGCTTAACTTAAATATTTTCAAAATTAATAATAACTGAAAAATAATACTAGTTTAAAATAAAACATATTTCTTATAGAAGTTATTCTAAGGTCAAGTGCTTATTTAAAACTATACAATGGCGGTTATGCTAAGGCCTTACGCAACCCCCCCCCCCACTCTTCCACATCTCTGCCTTCAATAACTGGGCTGTGAATGTGGTACAGAAGATTTACTCTGAGTGAATAAGAGTACATAACGGTCAGAAAAGAAACCCATTAACAAATAACCCCATAGGATATATTTTATTATTATTTTTCGATGTATTTATTTTGTATGTAAATTTGATATGAATAAAATCGTTTATCACTGATATTTTCTCTTCAAAAGGGACAGACTGCTGATTCCTATTTTGAATAAGTTACCTAAGCTTCTAAAACTTTAGCGTTAAATAGTAGCGGAACCATAATTAATTGTTTGCTTTTTAATTAATCAATGAAAGCTTTATATACACACTATAATATATATAGAACGATAATTGCTTAGAAAAGAATAGAAAGAAACTTACTACCAGTATGAAATGGTGTTTAATTGGTTCTATTAAAAAAAAAGAAAAGAATTACATGAACAATAGTACTTATAGAGATAATTTTTTTTATTTTATTTTTTCATTTGACCAATATTTATTAGCTGTATATTATTATTTAAAAAATATAACATTTTATGATTAAATAGTTTAAGTATTTAGATTATATCATTCATAGCAACAAATATTAACAAAAAATCTGGTGTGCGCAACACACAACTTTCACTTACCGCTCAACTTTGAAAAGAAATTATTTTCTGCCCATGTTGGGCTATTATCAAATTTTTGAATTGCATTTTTAACCAAGCTAAAGCTCAAAGCTTAAAACTTACAGCTAACAAAACATAAATACCATTAAAATAATAAAAATCCTCACCTATTGTATCAACAGTTGATTATGGATTATACGATCCGTTGATTGCACGGCTATTGGTTTTTAAACTATTTTCCATCGCTAAGTTCACTAAAATATAATTACTTGATTTGCATTGTCTGCCATAGACAAATCAAAAGTTGTCACACTAATTGTAATTGGATACTGTTGGAATATCACAAACGGAAATTCCTCAAATTATTCACTAATTTAATTTTCTAAAAGGTTACATGATGATTTTTAGGAATAAACGGACGATATATACCTTATTATTTAAATATAATATAAGATCTAGAGTTATTAAACTACAGTAAATATATTTAAGGTTATGAACATATTCATGAAATATTTTTATATTTCATTTCTTCTTTCACACAAGTACAATGAAATAGTTTTTTTAAACAATGTCCATTGCCTTGATTCGGTGGATTTTAAAAACTCTTTTTCATACTTAAATTTTTTTTTTAAAGTTTGCATTAAGGTAGCAAATTTTATTTAAATTCCTTGAAAATATGTGCCACCATGATACCACTAATGTGTATCATTGTTTTATATTATTATTAAGTATATATTATTTTTGGTCGCAATCTAATCAATGTAAAGGAACGTATAGTTATCTATCTTCTCTCTAATCTACTCCAATATGCGTAAAAATCCGTCGTGATGGTTTATTTATTGTAGTTGCTAACGTATATTGACGGGAATCTTTATGTATTATTTTTTAGATTTATAGAAGTTTATTTTTTTTATTTATTTTTTTTTTTTTGGGTCCTCCCCTTCCTCGCCGTTAAGGCTATACGGGGTTTTCTCGGGCCAGGGATTGTGGCCTGGGATTTTTTTTAAACCCTCGACACCGGTACGCGAACTCGTGATTATTATATCATTTGATTGATATATGAGATTGTCGGGCAACGGCGGTGCTGTGCACACGCGTTAACCCAAAGTTGGCTTTTAATAAATAGTTTTGCCACTATTTAGTCTAGGGTAGGAGACTTCTGTCCTATAGCATTCCGCAATATAGCACCATTCTAACGCCAAAATGTGTTTTCAAATAATTTTAAAGTTTATATTACTAATTGATTAATGATGTATCTATTTTTATTCATTCACACTTTTCCTTCCAAATCTTTACATACCGCGCCCAGTGTTTCCAAATTGACAGGGTACATGACGATAGCTGTGAGGGTGGAACTCCTTCCAGCTCTCACCATCAACATCTGGGCCGCCTTCCTGAACTTGATGTCAGCTTTGTACCACTCGCTGCAGTAGATGGCGAAGCGGAGGTCTGAACTCTAAAAGGTAAAAAAAGAGAATAAATGTATATACAGGTCAATAAGATGGTTCTGTACTTTTAGATTGAATATTCAATAGTTGACCGTTGCATTATTAAGGCAGTAGATGATCCGGGGTGGCGGTCATAAATAGACTCAATAGTGGTAAAACTATTTTATTAAAAGCAGACTTTGCAGGTTTTCTTCAGCGCTAGAACGGACAAAATACAAATGATAGAGAATTGTGGAAGTTACATAATATCTAGGCAAAAATTATAAAACAATGTGAATAAACTTATGAAAATTATAAACAGTAAGTACTTTAAAATATAAACAGAGTATGCTAAGTAACTAGATCCGAAGTAAGCTAAGTAACAAGAAGTAAGGATCATGTTACTTAGCTTACTCTGTTTATATTTTAATGTACTTACTGCTTATGATTTTAACAATTTTATTCACATTGTTCTATAACTTTTTTCTAAATATTATGTAACTTCCACTATTCTCTATATCTTTTTGTAACTTGTCCGTTCTAGCTTTTAATAAAATAGTTTTCCCACTATTTAGTCTGTTTAAGACCGCAACCCCGGACCGTCTGCACTTTTACTGAATGCTAAATGATATGCCGTATGAAATAATAATAGCAAATAATGAAAATGTTTAAAAAAACATTTTAGTAAATTTTATAATAAATTTTAATGCTTTTTCAAATTTTCATCTTAGCTGTGAAATTACAACTTTGATTGACTATTGACGTGGGAGTTATGATTTATTTTATTTATCATTCCTTTAAGTCTACATTTCTAGTTGTCTTGTCTACATATTTGTCTACTTGTCCCCTTTGTCTGCTGATGCAGCTCAAGTATATAATTAACCCTTGTATTCAATAATTTGATTTTATCAGTTAGTTATTATCATAGGCTTCACAAACATATTTTAACAATTTACTCAAAAACGGCACTAACAATTTTGATTGAACTCGGTGCATCATTGTATAATTAAGTGGTATTTAATATCATTTAACAAAATATAATCATCTCACATTATTCAAAGTTACAAAAAAATACTAAAAAAAGAGAGAAAACAAAATAAAAATGCTTATTCAGGTTGAAAATAAATTCACGGAAATACCAGTCAGAATGTGTAGGTATAATATATCGTTGGAAAGCAGAAAATTTTAGAAAAAAATAATATCTAATATAGAAAGTTGTAGAAGGTATACGGAGAGTGGCGAAAAAAATATAAATAATAATTTTTGAAAACTAATATTATTTAACGTTAATCACATGAATCAGCAATGTGTACACTGTGTCGACAAGGATTCATGACAGTTCTGCATCTACTGACTTGTCCCGAACTAAAGGACATTAAAAACAAAGCCAGGACAGAAGGTGAAATTTACCGAGCTGCTTGACGTCGCATGGCTGAAAGAGCTCAAGACGATGAAGGCATATGATAAAAAAAAGATGTTTTCAAGAAAATAAAATGAATTTTACTAACTAAATATAAGATTTTAAACATTTTTATATTTCAAAAAAGTATTTAAAATCAAACTAATCAAGGCAATGCCATTGTTTAAAAAACTATTACGTTGTATTTATGTGAAAAAAGAAGTGAAATACATATTTACTGTAGATGTATATAATCCTAGATCTGATATTATATTTAAATAATTAGGTTTTCAATAATTATTCCGTAAAATCGTCATGTAAGTTTTTAGAAGATTAAATTAGTGAATAATTTTATGATTTTTTTCCTTTGTGAAATCCCAAAATTATCGTGTTCGCCTCTAAAGTACCTTTAATTTGGTTTATTATAAATAATAACTATTTCTTATTGTTAAGAGTTATGAAAAAATGCTAAATATAACTTTTGAAGGATTTTGATAATTGGATATGGTAGAAAAAAAGAAAAATACACATCCTGGTCGGGAATGAATTTCCGGAAATAATATAATAAATATTATTATATTCCATATAATAATCAGATGGTATACGTATAATATATTGTTGGAAAGCGGAGAATTAAATGGTAAACAGTTGAAATTTACCATGAGTTGTGTAAAAAAATGATGAGATTTTCTATCCAGTCACCTAAATGTTCCCCTTCTTTTCTGCAAAAATGACCTTTATTTATTTATTTTTTCCGAGATGAGGGATTTATTGTAATAAACACAATTGCTTAAAAATCTATTTTATATGTAAAAATAAAAAATTTAAAAATGATGGCTTTTCAAACGTTTTTCAAGTAAATTTGTTATGAAAACGTAAAATTAGAAATAAAAAATTGAAAATCAGGATGATTCTAACATCTGTATTTTTCAAAGCTCTTTCGTACCATATTTATAATAATATTCAATTCTTTATTGATTACTATTTCAATTTGTCACTGTACCATATTTATATACATATAAAAAAAATCTGCAAATATTTTAGCTCCTTGTCATTTTACAGATTGAATGTCAATACATTTTTATAGCAATGTATTTTAGAGTTCTAGCAATATATTTTAGAGAGCTAACAAGTTTTAATGTTATTTTTGCTTCTTTACTACCGAAGGTAGGGAAGCATTGTGTTCGTGGGAGATACACGGTGGGCCAGACCCCCTTACCGTGCACCCCCCCCACATCCCTATAAATTGCATATCGTTGTGTTCCTTGTAACTATTTATTAAAAAAAAGCCAATGTTCCCACAAAAAAAAGTGAACGCACTGCCCCAAAATGGCGTCCAAAGATGGCGGATTGACGACTTTGACTTTAGTTAGTTTTTTGGTCACTGAGAATCAGCATTTGGCTTAATTTCCTCATAGTTGGTCTTTTATTAAAGCTGAATAGTCATAGAATAATAAACCATGAAGAAATATTAAAAAATAATTGGCTTAGGCTATGAAAAACACTACTAAAGTCAATTTTTTTAACAAAAAAATTTTCAAGTTAAAAATCAAGCGTCATTTGTAATTAAACGGCCTACAATAACGCAAAACGTGCTGAAATAAACCATCTGGAGAATATATTTTTCTTTCCAAAACGCTGATTATTTTTTAAAAACTTTTAAACAGTTCCGTAGAAAATGCACTTATGCGGCAGAAAAGCGGTACTGGCGTGGGTGCCTACAGGCCTCTACCACACCATTCAGTACACATAAATGGCTTAGTTAAAGTGATATAATAACATTTTTGGTACATTATATTGGTTTTATTAACGAACAAATATTAATGCAATAATTTAATTGTAAAAAAAAAATTAAAATTTTTTTAAAAAATTTATTATTATTATTTTTTATTTAACCTTCTTTATTCTACACGTAGGTCGTTTAAGAAGACCTTTATTGTAAAAATGATATAATTATAATAATAAAACTTAATTAAAAAACTTTGCTAAATACCTTTTTTTTTATTTAACGTTTGCAATTTAACACTGTGTTTTGTATATTTTCTGATTCTTAAAGGTAATTAAAATTTTTATTTACTTCCCAGGAAATGAGTCATATTAATACCTGTTTTATAAACTAAAATAATATATACCTAATCTGAACTATATATAATGAATAGCTGCTGGGTTGTATAGTAAAACTCATATATCACTAATTAAAAAATTAATTTTTATTTCCTTTATTTTGTGCGGAAGTTGTACTATAGCATAAATAAATAGGAAATTTTATTATTGAATGAATTATTCTCTCTGCACAAAGAAAGATAGAAAGGAGGACGCTATAAGTTCTTCTATAAACCAGAACTGATTGTTTGGATTTGGTCTTGAAATGAGGAAAAAGGCGAAATTGAACCCGAAAACTGGAAAAATACATTAAGCGAACGAGAAAGGAAGTGCCAAAACCTTGGAAAAGATAAAAAGGACCAGTATCCATTATATGGCTAAACGAATGTATAGTAGGCAGATGAAGAGAATATTTCAAGATGCTGCTAAAAGGGGCTCAATTGCAGTTTGGATGATATTAAGTGGACGATGTAGGTTTATTATGGTGAAAACCACTTTATTTTCGATTGCTGAAGGAATATTAAAATTTTAATATTGAATGCATTATTCTCTCTGCACAAAGAAAGATGGAAAGGGCGAAACCGAACTGCTTCGCACAGTTTAGCGCATACATAGGCAACAAGTATGTTAAAAAATAATATGAAAGGACTGTGGTTTTTATCCTTACAAGAAAGGAGATACTAGGAAATACCCATCAAGATCCATTCCTGTTTAGTGTACCAAAGAAATTATACTCAAGAATCGTAGAAGCTGGAATAAGAAATATTGTCGATTGCCAGAGCGATATGGATTGAGAAACTCAAGTTGCACATTGGAAGAGAAGTTGAAAATTGAGACTGACTTCACTTTAAGGCAGGTTATAGAGAAGTCTATATACAACGAAAAATAGCTCTCTATCTGCTTAGTGCCTTACTCTTTGGATTGTGCTAATATCTAATTGTCTTTCAGAAAAGCAGGTTTTCCTTTTAGATTCCTTAAAAAATCGTTTGCAAATGCACTAAGCAGAAGGAGAGCTATGAGCTATAACTTTCTCGATATAACTCTCTATATCCTGCTTCAAAGTGAAGATAGTCCCGATGTGCACCTTCAGCAATCGAAAATAAAGTGGTTTTCACCATAATAAACCTACATCGTCCACTTAATATCATCCAAACTGCAATTGAGCCCCTTTTAGCAGCATCTTGAAATATTCTCTTCATCTGTCTACTATACATTCGTTTAGCCATATAATGGATACTGGTCCTTTTTATCTTTTCCGAGGTTTTGGCACTTCCTTTCTCGTTCGCTTAATGTATTTTTCCAGTTTTCGGGTTCAATTTCGCCTTTTTCCTCATTTCAAGACCAAATCCAAACAATCAGTTCTGGTTTATAGAAGAACTTATAGCGTCACCGTTTCTATCTTTCTTTGTGCAGAGAGAATAATTCATTCAATAATAAAATTTCCTATTTATTTATGATATAGTCCAACTTCCGCACAAAATAAAGGAAATAAAAATTAATTTTTTAATTAGTGATATATGAGTTTTACTATACAACCCAGCAGCTATTCATTATATATAGTTCAGATTAGGTATATATTATTTTAGTTTATAAAACAGGTATTAATACGACTCATTTCCTGGGAAGTATATAAAAATTTTAATTACCTTTAAGAATCAGTAAATATACAAAACACAGTGTTAAATTGCAAACGTTAAATAAAAAAAAATCAAGATATTTAGCAAAGTTTTTTAATTAAGTTTTATTATTATAATTATATCATTTTTACAATCAAGGTCTTCTTAAACGACCTACGTGTAGAATAAAGAAGGTTAAATAAAAAAAATAATAATAAATTTTTTAAAAAAATTTTAATTTTTTTTTTTACAATTAAATTATTGCATTAATATTTGTTCGTTAATAAAACCAATATAATGTACCAAAAATGTTATTATATCACTTTAACTAAGCCATTTATGTGTACTGAATGGTGTAGTAGAGGCCTGTAGGCACCCACGCCAGTACCGCTTTTCTGCCGCATAAGTGCATTTTCTACGGAACTGATTAAAAGTTTTTAAAAAATAATCAACGTTTTAGAAAGAAAAATATATTCTCCAGATGGTTTATTTCAGCACGTTTTGCGTTATTGTAGGCCGTTTAATTACAAATGACGCTTGATTTTTAACTTGAAAATTTTTTTGTTAAAAAAATTGACTTTAGTAGTGTTTTTCATAGCCTAAGCCAATTATTTTTTAATATTTCTTCATGGTTTATTATTCTATGACTATTCAGCTTTAATAAAAGACCAACTATGAGGAAATTAAGCCAAATGCTGATTCTCAGTGACCAAAAAACTAACTAAAGTCAAAGTCGTCAATCCGCCATGTTTGGACGCCATTTTGGGGCAGTGCGTTCACTTTTTTTTGTGGGAACATTGGCTTTTTTTTAATAAATAGTTACAAGGAACACAACGATATGCAATTTATAGGGATGTGGGGGGGGGTGCACGGTAAGGGGGTCTGGCCCACAGACTAAGAGAGAAGGCTTTGACCATTTGTAAGGTTTTTTAAAATATTTTTATGAGGTTATAAAATTTAATATGATTTTATTCAAAAAGTTATTTTATACTGTGTTGTTTAGTGGCTTCCAAATGTTACTACATGATGCTTATTGTCGTTATTTAAATTTCGCGTAATTTTCAATAAATTTAAATTAATTCTTACTCTAAGTTTGTAAAAAAAAAAGTAGTCGTATTTATGATTGTGTTTATTTCTATTGAAGTTCAACCATCTCGTCGTGGTCTCAATTTCATCCTTAGACACCAAAGTTGTGAGAACTTCACTTATATTTTTACATTCTTGCTTAAATTAGTTTTGTTCTGACTGTGGAAAAGTGGAAAAATATTTCTCTCTTTAACTCCGAAAAAACAAAAAGTTGAATTATTTTTATGGATTTTGTGTTCCATCCATTTAATTGTGAAAAAATACTTATTAAGTCTAAACTACTGTTAGTACAAAAGGTAATATTTACAAATTTTCAATTGTATTCTATATTTGACATTTTGTAGTAACTGATATATGTAGTCTGCTACAATGGAAAATATTAAAGGGCAATAAATTATGAAATCAAACTAATAAATCATAAAGAAAATATTAGTTTTTATCCTTTCCTGTAAAACACTCGATTTTTACATAAGACCTTTTGCACTAACAGTATTATATGCATGTTCAGTATGCCCTGGATTTTTTTTTGGTTTTAATCACGAATTATCAAATATGCAATCTGCAAATGCGGAACTCTTTAGCATTTTAGTATTCAGTGATGAACCAAACTCGCGTATATCAAACAAGTATATATTGAGGGATTACTGAATTTTCAAAAACGGCTTCTCCCAGAGATTTTATTCTCAATCGAAAAAATTTAGATCTTGTTATAAAAATATTTTGTAGCTTATAAAAACGGTGAAGAAGCTATACTCATATTATTTTCATTGAACAAACAAACATTGACGTTTTTTACATAAAATAAAATTTATTAAGATCAATACTCCTTTGTTTAGTTTTATTTTATAAAATAATAATGTGATCCATAGCTTATATAAAAAAAAAATTCTTAAAACGGAATAAATCCTAAGACAAAACTTCAAATAATTATTTTAAACTTTTTTATTAAAACAAAAATATTAATGCCTTACTTAATAATTGCAAATAAAGTTGATAAATGATATGTTCATGACAATTTTATTTAATGTCATGAAATTCCGGATTCACTTCGTGGACGTCAACCCACGAGTGTTTAAAATAACCTGTAAGATATACATTATATCCCTTTCATTTAAATTTAATTTTTATTATTTCAAAATTTGAATTTTTCAAACTCTGAAAATTTATATTCATTCGTTTAATAGCGTCTAAAATAAATTATAATTACTTAACAAGTTGGCTGATTTGTAATTCATAATATTTATATTTCTTTAAATGTCACTTACCGCCGTCTCAATGAGTGAAGAACCAAAACAGATCAACGATACTTCGATAAATTGGAATACAAAGAGTTCGAAAAGCTGTATTAAAATTCTGGGATCATTCGTTTTTCCCTAAATAATAAAAAGAACAAAACATATAATGCATATAATTTACTTTAATAAAAAAAAAGTTAATGTAGTAAAGTTACTAGTAAAATCTGGATAGCTCCAAACAACAGAAAGATAATACCGATTCCAAGCGTTACAGTAACCAGAGGGTTGTAAAACTTCCTGAGATCATCAGTGTACCTGCGAAAAATTAAATAACCTGTAAAATAAAAAAAATATTCAATATAAATTTAAGACACTATGTTTTTAATAGATAATTACATCAAGAGTTTTTGGTGATCTAGAAGGCTCTCGTATAACTCCTCATACACCCTAGTGTTATTAAGATTTGGAATACTTTTTTTACGTGCTGAACTTAAAGCATCTGAAACATCTACCTTCAGACCGGACAAACGAGCACCAAATATAGTAAATTGTGCATAGAGACACATCAATACTTGATAGAACACACAGAAATACACAGCGAGAAGTGTTGCTATCCATATCGTACAGCATATTTCATAAACGTAAATTATTTCGTAGTAAGGGGACTCGTCCATAGGCACTGGGTACCAACCACCCAATATCTTGTTTCTTCCAGTTTTCACGGCAGCCATACTGCCGGTGTGGTGCTGGATGTAATCTATAGAAATATTTGGAAATATTATAACGACTGTCTCTGCACCAATATTCCAAATCAATGTACCCATGCAAATAATGTTACAAGTCTTATTGGTCTTAACAAACAAATCCCTCACGCGATCTCTCAAATATTCAGGAATATGGATAAAATCTTTCTTCATCATGTCGTAGAGTCTGAAAAACCTGTCCATGTGAAACCAAAACAGAAACATCCTGCAGCACATCTGAACTGCAGGCAGCGGGTGCAGATTGACTAACGTGATCTTCTGGATGTCGTATTGTATCGTGAAGTAGCTTTGCGCCTGAAAAACCGCATATGGAAGAGTTATCATAAACGTCCCAAGTATGTGCATCTTGACAATTAAACTCTTCTTTCCCGTTGTTCTGTAGTCATTGATAGCCTTCCATATCCCGAAGAGCTTGAGGATTCTGATACTAAGACCATCGATGATATCTGAGTCTCTGATCGGATCCTGGTAGCCCATCCTCGTCGGCTCTCACTTCTTAACTACTTGTCGTACTTCTCCTTTTGTTTATCACAACTATCCTTAATGTCTTATTGATATCCCAATTACCCAATAGATGGGAATGGTAATTATTCACTACGAGTGGAATGACTGTAGCTAATAGGAAGTTAATTAATTGACGTATCCTTTAAGGATGATCCATATTCAATGTTGGGGAAAAACAATTCATCCAGCGAAAGCTTGAATGTTATATGTGCACTTGAATGTTTCATGTGAGTAACGATTGAAGATGTTTCATATTGTTTTGTGTCAATTTAAAAAATGGATCGACTCATGACAACAGTACATTTTACTACATTATATTTAGTTTTTATCTATTTAGAATAGTTTACTTACAAAATTTGTATGACGTAGATATTGTAACTTTGTGTAAGTATTTGAAAGACCTGTACTAATAAAATTTAAATGTGTACATTTTTATTCTTATTAGTTATTAATTTTGTATGGTGAGCACATTGGTAGTCAGTTTTGTTCGGATGTTGGGAATTCATCTTATAATAATATTCTATCCTGGAACAACGACAAACTGATACTAATTTAAGATAGAATCTGGTTTTAGACTTTTGATGGAACTAAAATTATTTAACTATTTAAACACTACCTCATCCATATTTACTCGTATGAAGTTATTAGTGAAGAAATTTATTTCATAAAACTTAAGTTCCATTCAGGAAGCTATACGAAATATAATTTTTATCTCTGATATTCATAATTGTTTAAAAAAATTATTCGGAAATTTAAGCGCAAAGGTAAAAAAGAAATTTTCTTCATTAATATCATATATAAGTAGCTTTGTACCGAGTAAAAATAAGATATAGCCATAAAACTTTTTATAAAAATTATTTTTATAAATATATGTGATTCATATTCAGGTATAAAAAAATTAATGTTATCCAAAAATATTTACTATGAAGCCAAAAGAAAAAAAAATCTAGTATAAATATATTCGTAAACAAATTTTTGAAATGAAAATTTTTGAATACAATGCTCATTCGTTTTCTCTTACTGGCATTTGAAAACAAAAAAAAAATTGTAAAGCTTAATAATATAAAAGTTTTTCAAAATAGTAACTCTTTTTCATTAATTCAAAAATTAATTCGTGTTCGATATTCAGTTTTTAATTTTCTTCTCCTTTGACGAGTTAATTTGTTAGCTCACTGCGTAAGCTATTAGATTTTGGAAATAGGATAACTTTATTTTTCTCGAAAATAAGATTTATAGACTGTGAAAGTAAATCATGTTGAATATCTACAATAAAATAATAGAAAAACTGTTTAACATAAATTTTGATAACAATTGAAAAATAAAATTGTTTTTCTCAAAGGTTTTGCCATGAGTCGAATCTGCTATTTTTTTTTTAATATAACAAAAATTGTTCCAACTTTAACACGACTCCACAAATATTGCCCGAAATCGGTATTGGTAAAAAAGATTATCGATTTTTTGTATAAAAATTAATGCAAAATAGTTACTAATGCTTGACAATATTAGTTGCTATGTGTAATGAATTGGTATAACCAATGTACTTTTGCATTTCACTCTTCTAATTTTTCATTCGGGCTTAGTTAGATTTTTCCTATATAAAAAATACAGTAATATCTCTATAGTACTAAACTAATAGGTAACTGCAAGACCGTTGCGAGACTCTTTCATAAGACCAAGACCTAAAAAAAAACTGAGCATGCAAGACAAAGACTCGTCTCGGTCTCACATTTGGGCAACACTAGACTCCACCTATCCACAATAAAACTGTCAGTAATTTAGGTCCATATAAATTACATGATATAATACAAACCAGACCACCGTAAACAAATAATTACTGGAGATATAAAATAAAATCGTTTGAGAAGTTTTTTTTTTATTTATTCCTTTTAAAGGCGTAAAATCTAATAGTTATTGTTTGGAAGGACAATAATGCAGCTTTCTAACATTCTAATAACCTTGATTTTTAAAAATGCTGTGGAGTTATGAATGCTTTAGTGAACGGAATGAAAATAAATCCTCCATTAAAAGCAAGTGCAAAAAATTATATTTTTCGATTTCAATATAAATTTTATTTGCGAATTTTACAGGACGTAAGAAATTACTTTTTCATGACAAAAAATTACTTGACCAACTTTACTGTATTTTGTAATTTATGATACATCATAACTCATTTAATATCATGGACATTATTTTTCGCTTATTCTGAACACAAAAATAATAATGTATGGGTATATAATAGCCTATGATTCCGAGCAAACCAAAGAAATATAACATAAATATCTTTTTTGTGATTGTAAGATAATTTTCTTCACGGCTCCTAAGGCCCATCGAACCGAACCCCGGAACCTGTTTCTGTATTTATATATATATATATTATAAAGGCCTTTGTACATTTGATGCCAATAAAATTCTATATTATATTAATTGGCATTATGTATTTTTTTGTTCAGATATAATTTGAGTCGAACCACGGCCAATGAAACAGAATAAATAAAGGAACGAGATGGTCCGGGGTGGCGGTCATAAATAGGCTACATAGTGGCAAAACTATTTTATTAAAAGCCAACGTTACTTACGTTACAACTTTGCAGATCTTCTTCAGGGAGGTGTGTTCAGCTAGAAGTTTACAAGAATAAATAATGTGTCTACCATCAGCCAGATTTAAAACCGGGGCCTCGAGATAAGGAAATTTGTTTGGTCCATTCACCATATTCAAAAACCTTACTTTTCAGATTTTTTAAATTATTTTTTCGTAAGAATAATTATTGTATCCTATATAATTTAGTTTTATATTTATAGTTATATATTTAGGAACTGGGTAGCTCTGTGGGTGAGCAGTGACTACCAGAGCTCTCAAGGTCCCAGGTTCGGATCCGGCTGATGAATAGTAATTTTTTATCAACCGTGGATTGACCATGGGGTTGGGAGACCCTCATGAGGCACATACAGCCTCTTTAAAGTTGGTACTCCTAATTAAAATAATTGTGGCAGATTGTTGTAATACTCAATAAATAAATAAAAAAAAATTAAAGTAATTAATTAAGAGGTAAAAGCTGGTGGGTAAGCGCGATCTCTGCACAACCGTTCGTCGGCCTAGTGACAGTACTTCCTCAAATTGTACTGAAACTGCGGGCGGGTTGACCAAATGGGTTAATGCGTGTGCACAGTAACGCTGTTGCCCGGCAGCCTGATATATAAGACATTGAAAACAAATAGTCACGAGTTCGTGTCCCGGTGCCGGGGGAGTCTTTTAAATCCCCGCCCTTACCCCCTGGCCTGGGAAAACCCCTTATAGCCTTAAAGGCCAGGAAGGAGAGGACAAAAAAAATAACAAAAAAACAAACAATTGTACTGAATCCAAGACCCTTCATGGGTTCTTAATGGTGCAGGTTTTGTTTTTTAGTTATATATTTAAATTTCGTGTGATGGAGTATAGGCTATTTATTTATAAATAGTCATAAAAATTTACTTTGCCTACTTTACTTGAAGCACCTTTTGGTTTTTGTAATTTATAATAAATAATAACCCATTTAATATAATCTAATCATTCGATTAGAATCTGGCATAAGAGACTTCTCTTCAAACTTAAGACGATACTCCCTTCTACCTACCATCTTATCCTTCAATCTTTTCTCTCTGATAGATTTTTCTCTGTCTGCCAAGGCTCAGAACTTTGTTCAATAAGACCAGCCTTTGCAGGAGTTCCTCAGGAGTCAGTACTTGCTCCGCTATTATGCATCATATACACACAAATTTGTAACAGCGCCAAAACTATTATAGCTTAAACAGAAGATACAGCAATTCTAACAAGACTTAAAATGAAACACACTCTTCACAGACTTTACATCACCTAACAAAACTAAACGATTGGTGCAAACTTTGGAAAATTCGACTCTACGAAGACAGACCACTACACATCACTTTCACACTTCGACATGAAACATTCCCTCCTATTTACCTTGATATTGCCGAAATTCTCCAAACAGATAAAATACAATATCTTGGGCTTAGGGAGAAGAATTACTGATGCTAAATTCAAGACAGGAAGGATGCCGCTGAGGACTCTTCTCCATCACGCCGATTATGCCACTCCCTATACTCTTACCGACAGCTGACCCAGTAATTTTCATTGCTTATGACATGTGTGGGTGAGGGTATGAAGATAAATATATATAATAGCCAATCTGTTTTTTTTTTAATCTACAAAAAAAGAATAAATTGATTGATCTATAATATTCTAAAAATCTGGGCAAAGCAAAGACAAAACGTCTGCCAAGTAAGGTCCAGTATACCTTCCTCACCGCTTTCATTGGCTAAAATATATCTATATCACAAGGTATACAATCCTTCGTATGAGAATAAAATATCTGGGAGAAGTGGATTCGAAAATACAGTTAGCCTTCAACATTCGCGGGTTTGATATCTACGAATATCGTTTTTGTTCATCAGCTAATATTAAAATGCGAAAGAGTGCCGTGTTTGAAGATTTCATATTGATTATTCTTAATTGAAAAAAAATACCAATGCACAGTGAACATGCATTTCACTACTGATAGTCTAAAAGGTCGTATGTAAAAAATCATTATTTCTTTATTTTTTATTGGTATAATTTCATATTTTATTGTCCTCTGATATTTTCCATAGTAGCAGACTACTTATGTCAGTTGCAGACAACAAAATGTCACCTTTAGCACAAATAGAATAAAAGTTGAAAATTTTTACATACGACCTTTTGTACTAATAGTAGTGATATATACTTAATAGATACGTTTTCAGTTCGTAAAATGGGTGGAGCTATAAAATCCATCGGAAAATTCAACTTGTTTGTTCGGAGTTAACGAGAACAATACTTTTCTTCTTTCAGAACAAAACTAATTAAGCTTGAATAAAAAATATAGGTGAAGTTCAGACAAATTCGATATTAAAGCAGGAAATCGAGACCAAGAAGAACTGTTGAACTTTAATAGAAATAA